TCTTTCTAGATATCTTTTTGAATGTTATAGAAGTATGTCCTAATTCTAGCAATCCTAATATTTTAATTATACTTGCTTCTTTTATTTATGCTTATTTGGATATGTATGAGTGTTTTGTATGCATGAATGCGTGGACACCACATGCATGCAGATCCTGGAGAAGCCAGAAGAGGGCATCAGGAATCCTGGAATTGAAGTTGCAGACAGTTGCAAGCTGCCATGTAGGTTCTCAAAACTGAACCTAGGTGTTCTGTAGAAGCAGCAAGTTCTCCAAGGTGTGTCTCCACCCACATTTAATTATTTTTTATTATTTTAAATAATTAGGATATAATTATTTTATCATTATTTTGCATATAAGAAAATATTCAAGGCTGGAAAGATGTCTCAGTGGTTAAAAGCATGTATTGCTCTTCCAAAGGACCGAAGTTCATTTCCCAGCATGCATGGTGGGTGGTTCACAATCACCTGTATTCTGGCTCCAGGTGTCCAGGTGATCCAAAGACCTCTTCACGACATACACGGTGTGTGTGTGTGTTGTAGAAATGATTCACTTAAAGATCTGGTGATGGATCTTCTGTGTGGAGATCACAGTGTGTATTATCATCTGGATTCATAGAACATGAAGATGGAAACATCAGACTTAGAGGAGATCCAATGACTGAGACAGGAGGAGGAATGTCTCTGTTAGAAGAAAGCCAGGAGCTAAGGAATGTTGACAGTCATTAGAAACAGGAAAGGTAGGGGAATAAATAGATCCTCCTCTAGAGCACCCAGAAAGAATAAAGCAGTATGTTAATTTTATCCCTGTAACACCCTCTGGAATTCATAAATTAGCTGTTTTAATAGTCATCGAAGCTAGGCATGGTGGCCTATGCCTGTAATCCCAACAGATGGATCGCTTTGATTTTGGAGCCAGCCTGATCTACATAACGGGTTCCAGGCCAGCCGACAGCTACATAGTGAGACCCTGTCTCAAAAATTAAAATTATGCAGTTGGTATCAATTAATAGTAGCTTCAATAGGAAAATCACACAATAGAAAAAAAACCAATTAAATGGACTTCAAAAAATGATCTTTTGTAAAAGGACCTTTTAAAGAAAGTATTGAAAAGAAATTGGATGTCATGGTACATACCTGTTATTGCAGCATGTAGGGGGTACAGGGGGCTGAGATAAGGAAGACTGCAAATTCAAAGTTAACTTGGGCTACACAGTGAGCTCCAGGCCAGTTGGGGCTTCATAGAAAGACTCATTGTCTAAAAAGTTGAAAAAGGGATGCTTGGGGCAGGGCACCCCTCAGAGGCAAAGGGGAGGGGGGATGGGGTGAAAAACTCTGCGAGGGCCCCCCTCCCACACACAGAGAAAGAGAAAGAGAGGGGGGGGAGGGGGAGGGGGAGGGGGAGGGGGAGGGGGAAGGGGAAGGGGGGGGGGAGGGGGAGGGAGAGAAGAGAGAGGAGGGGATAATCCAATGTCTTTTCAGTGAATAAATAGTTAAACAACAGTGATGCAACCAGGCCATGAAACAGTGACTACTCAGTTAAAGGAAGACTACTTTGCTACATGGTAACTTAGATCTTAGACACAAGAGATGCACATGGGTATAGTGAAAACGGAATGAGGCCTATAGCTAGTGCGTATTGAACCATGCCAATTTCCTGTTTTGATACTGCACTACATTCCTACAAGATATAGTCATCGGAGGAATCCAGTCAGATGCCCAAAGGATTCTACTTCTGTGAATTCTAGTGAATTGACAAGTCTTTTTCACAATAAAAAAGCATTACATTTGCACTGTGATTCTTTTTCTTTTTTTTTAATTGGATATTTTATTTACATTTCAGATGTTATTCCCTTTCCCCATCCCCCCCACATCCAGGAACCCCCTATCCCATCCCCCCTATTCCTGCTTCTATGAGGATGTGCCCCCACCCACTGACCCACTCGCCCCTCCCCACCCTTCAATTCCCCCACACTGGGGCATCCAGCCTTCATGGTACCAAGGATCTCCTCTCCCACCTATGCCCGACAAGGCCATCCTCCTTTACATATACAGCTGGAGCCATGGATCTCTCCCTATGTGCTGTATGACAAGAACTTCAAGTCTCTGAAGAAAGAAATTGAAGAAGATCTCAGAAGATGGAAAGATCACCCATGCTCATGGATTGGCAGGGTTAATATAGTGATTATTTTTCTTATAACATTCTTTTCTTGCCACTAACTGGGATTGAACTCATAACCACATGCCGGGAGCTGTCCCCAGCTTGGTGGGAGGAGAAGATGATCTTCTTTCTTCTCCTCCAGTCAGTCGGTTCTTCTTGAGGCAGCCGAGGGGGATGGAAAGAGCATAGGCAGTGGGTAAGACCTAGGGTTAGGTTATTGTAGCTGGCCTGCCCTCTGTTTGATCCTCTGAGGCCAGAAACTGCAGTTTCTTACACTTAACACCTCAGCCCAGGGACAGCAGAGAATTAGGCAAATATCCTTAGTACTCTCTCTGCAGGCACTGTCAGGCTCTAACTTAGGTCTGTTGGTTTGAGGTCGCAGGAAGAAAAGACACTTAAAGAAGTTATTGTAGTTTATTACTAAGTATAAAAAGTTTCCTATGAAAGCTAGCTGAGAGACAAAGTAGGGAAAGGTAAAAAAATTCTAACAAAGGAAAAATTCTGAGTGGAGAGAATCTAAGCAGGGATGAAAGGAGAGAGAGAGAGAGAGAAGTGAAGAGAAGTGAGTGAGAAAGAGAGAAAGAGAAAGTTAGTAGCTAACGGACGTCCCTTTGACTTATACATCATTCAGTACCTGATCACATGTTACAAAGTTCATTACAAGTTCACACCAAAATTCAAATCATAAATTGAAACAGAAGTTTATAACAGAGAATGTTTACATGCATATCCATTAGGAGTAATTATCTGGCTAAACATCCATCACCTGTCTAGCTCCACAGGTTCACTGAAGGTTTAAAACTATAACTAAGAAATTAGTGAAGTTTTTGTATAGATAAACCCAAGCAATATTTTCTCTTCTGTCCTAGCACCTATAATAAATCGTGAGTTCCCTTTTAGTGACCCTTGGTTAATTGTTTTACAACCACCTTGGAATGTGCTCTGAGCAGGAGAGAGTCTGGTTACTATCTAAGGGCTGTTAACTGATGACATTTGGGAGACTGGCAGAGTTCTCATAGCAGTTTTGACTATCAGAAAGGGACTTAACAGCAGTCCCACTATAAAAGAGCTAAATAATCATTGATATAATTTTAGGAATTCTCATAGGATCATCATTAAGACTTAAGAAGTAGTCTATTTGTCTATATAGCATCACTACAAGACAGTACATCTTTGTGGGTCTGCAGAGATCTGCTCCAAAGGGGAGTGCTATTGCTTAGTGATTGTTATGTATGTTTAATAATAATAATAATAATAATAATAATAATAATAATAACAAAGGCATATTAATAGCAAGATCTTTCCTAAAATATGTCCAGCATAGCCTTGCTGATGTGGCACACTTGTCGCAGATAATAATCTGAGCCAAGTATTTCAGGATGATCAACTGCTAATTATTAGCTTGTCCTATTATGGCTCCTGACAACCACATAAAACTAGTCAAGCACTCTTCTACTAAGCTCATTCCCCAGTAAAACTTTTTCTTAAACAGTCCCCTTCCTTTGAGACAGAATTCATATAACACAAGATTCACTGTTTTATGGGAGGCTAAGTCAGAAAGATCATGGGTTCAGAACTATCCTAGACTACATAATGAAGTCCTTCTCAATAAAGCCAAATATTTTTTAACGGACAATAAAAGGAGCTACATAAAGGCTTTAAAGACTTTAAAGCTTCATCATTTTAAACTGTGATTTCAGCATGGCTTGCTCAGCCTGCTTTCTTATAGCACCCGGGACCACCAGCCCAGGGATAGCAGTACTCAGTTTGCTGGATCCTCCCACTTCAACCATCAATCAAGAAAGTGCAGCACAGACTTGCCCATAGGTCAGTTTGGTGAGGACATTTTCTCAATTGAAGTTATCTCCTCAAAAATGACTCTAGTTTGTGTCAAGTTGAAGTAAAACCACCCAGCATATATGGTAACTTTATGCTTAACTTTTTGAAGACTGTCAGTATTTTCCCAAAGTAGTTTCACCATTTTCTATTTCTATAAGCAATACTCAAGAATTTTGATATCCCTACATCTCTAAAATTAGTTAACATGTTGGGTTTTTTTCATTCTAGATATGAAATGCGTTCATGGTGATATTGCTTTGCATTTCTCAATGGTTAATGATGTTGAACACTTTCTCATTTGTGTATTTTTTTGGGGGAAATATTTGCCTGTACTTTTATTGCTTTTGCTTTGAATCAGTGTTCCTTCATTAAATCACATACTTGCCTTAAACTCATGATCTTCCTGCCTCAAAATGTTCATATTACAAAGCATATCACCAATTTACAGTTGTCTTTTAATTAATGCATTGTAATGTGTGTGTATGTTGGAGAGAACTTTGGTGTGGAATTAATGAGACATGGGTTTGAATGCTCATTGTATACAAAATTTTATGGCTCTGGACAAGTTACTTAACTTCTAAGGACTCTAGCTACTGGTAAATAGGGGTGACAGTGAGAACAGTATCACGGGGCTGGTGTTAACACTAGGTCAAAGGTTGTGAATATAATGACATGTTGAGTGGCACTTAGTATGAATTTGATATCAATTTGACATATCGCTGTTGAACATTATTTTCACTGCCTCCATTCTGGCCCAAGGAGGTATTGGTGGGATCAGAAGAAGCAGCTACTCTGTGGATATTTGGGTGAGTTGCTGAATTTCTATCCCACTGTGAAGCAGCTGTGTTTCCATCCCCTTGCCCTTTTTATGGAGAGGCATAAAGGAAGGTTAAAGGAAAGAAATAGGTTGCGTGCACATTAGCAGAACCACAAGGTAACTAGGAAGGAGTTGCACAGAGGTTTTTATTCCAGAGTTTTATTTTTGTGGGTGAAACAATGTGACAGCTCTGCCATCTGAAATACTGATGGAGTTTTGCCTGTTTGAAATAGGAAGCCACAGTTCAGGACCCCCTAATTTACCCAGTCTTTAAATCATAAAGGAAGGGCCTGACTTAGAGTATTAAAACAAGCCTTGTTCTAAGTAAAGCTGCTAAGCTTAAACCTATATACTAAGAATGTCACTAAGGTTTGTGGGGAAGGGGCACAGAATACTTTGTCTTCTCATTATTTTCATTGGGAATTCAATGAAAATGACTTGGTTTATTGTCATAAAACAACAATCCCTCACCAGTAAAGGCCTTGTCTTTACTCAAATCTGTCTTGGTTACTTGGGTGGGGATTCAGTTGCTGGATTGTCAATTCAGTAAGTATTTCCAGCTTGGTTGGTATCTCTTTACATCTTTAAAATCTGCCTCTCCCCAAATTCTTCCTTCCATGTGGCTTCACCTGGATCTCTTGTGTATTTGAACTTCAGTTACAGAGATTTCAATTCATATAATTGTCAACTCCTGGGTCTTGGAGAAGCCATATTCAGCTTTGTGTTGGTCAAACAGCTTGCGTAGGGCACTGATGTAAAGTTCAAAGTACTTTGTCACGGTCTCCTTGTCGGGATCAAGGATCTTGGGGACTGGCAAGGGTTTTCCAACTACGGAGAAGGAGCAGAGACAAGTGTCAGAGTCCTTATCCCAACAACTCTACCCACACCTTAGTAGAAGGGTGCATTTTTAATAGTATCTGAATACTGTCACTCCCTTCCCTTCATTCTTTTCCTCTAACTCCAGCTATGTCCTGGCTCTCATTCTATGCTTGCTTAAGTCTTACCAATGCCCCAGAGAATAAAAGCAAGCACAGGGAAGAGCTGAATGAATGTATGTAAATAATGATGCTCCTATGACATCTGGTGAGCTCTGTCCCATCCATGAATGGCTCCAAGTGTTATTTGTTTGGTTGTCCTTCCCATCCTGCTTTCAGCCACACCTGTCACAATTCCCTTAGTGCACCTTGGTTGTGAGCCAGATTGCCTGGGGATTGATGACTTGGGATGGGAGATCAAGAACTTGAGTGGCCTAGAAAAAAAGTAGAAAGCTCACCAACAGTGGTAATGGGATGGTTGAAAGGCAAAATGCCCCAGGATCCCCTAGTGAGGCCCCTGCCATGAAAAGTACAGAAATTTATGCCTAGGATTCTTTTGCCAATTTTCTGGAAGTTTTTTTGGAAGAACCTTAGCCATGTGCCTTCAGGAAAGGTCTCTTGGTTGTAAGCCTCATTCTCACCAAAGGAGTAAGAAGGAACAAGATATGCTCTGTAAAGACAAGAACAGAAATATAAGCTCTTCAGTAAGGCAAAATCTCCCCAGGAGCACTCTCTCTGTGGTGGGAAATCTCCCCAACCTCTCAACAATAAAAGGTTTCAAGCACCCAGACATTCCCAGCCTCACATTTCATTTCTCCAATGGAACTTCAATGTGGCTGTTACCCATGATAGAAAAAAGGATGCTAGCCTGGGAGACCTAGCACCTTCATTCAGCATCCAATGTGATCTACCCAAACTGGGCATGCATACTTGCCACATCTTTCTCTAAAGTGTTCCCAGAGCTCCTCGCTGCAGCCCTCACTGCTTAGCATGAGCTCAGTGTCCTAGCTCTTCCTGTGTGGTCAGCTTCCCCACTATTTAACCATACTAAGTATGCCAAATCCTCTCTCGTCCCTGCCTGTATGTTTTATTCCCTCTGACTCTTTACTCTTTATGTGGCAAATTCCATTTTGCCTTTCAGTATTCTGTTCTAACCACATCTTTGATGACCCAGATTCCCCACTGTAGGATTGTTATCCCTCAGCTAGTTCTTCCCCCTGTCCTGATTTCCCACCTCCATGCCCTGTCTTATAGTCATCATCTTATCTGTCTGGCCAATCAAGAGTGAAAATCCTGACAGTTCTCTTTGAATCCCTAGAGTCTAGTCTGGTCTGGTGCTGCATATATCATATCCCTCATTGAATGCCTGAGTTTTCACTTGCATTTGTTTGTTTCCTGTATTGTTTTTTGAGGTGCTGGTGATTCAACCCAGAGCCTTGTACATGCCAGATAAGCTCTTTATCACTAAGATGATACCCAGACCTTTAAACATTTTTAGCTGGAGACAGGATCTTGCCTACTTGTTCAGGCTGGTTTTGAACTTTTAGTCTTCCTTCTTCAGACTCTAGAGTGTGTGTGTGCGTGTGGTGGGGAGGAGGTGGGGATTACAGGCATGTGTCACAATGCCTTGCTCTTTTTCCCATTTTGGTCTGATTGGCAACTCCTACTCATATTTTAACTTTAGCACAGTTCAGATGTCACTCTCTGATGAAACCAGTCTTTCCATACATTGGTGCTCCCAAGCATTTTGCATATTTCTCCTTTATCATACTTATTTACCCAACAAATTTGCATTGAGCTTTTTTTAATGTTCCAGCACTGATGTAAGCCATATAGAGGTATCAGCGAATACAAAGGATGAAAAAACTTTCCACACTCATGGTGTTTACTAGTAGTGAATGAGAAGGCTGGGGAGCTCAGTGAGGAGTGAAGTCAGGGAGGTGGTGAAGACCAGGTTCCTCAAGATTTTTTGCTCTGTGTGGCATGGGAGTCATTGGAACATTTTGAGACATGATACAACTTGACTTATGGGTACCAGGATCATTCTAGCTACAACTTGGAATAGAATCTTGGAGATAAGGGAAGCAGGGAGAGAAGTAAAGTTCCAAGTATTGTAATGATCCGGTAGAGAGATGCTGGATATTTAGACCATGAGGATGGTAGTTGAGGTGGTGAGTAGCTAGATTCTACATACGTTTTGTTATGATATATACATGGATTTGTCACCTATCTTAGATTGTGAGTCTACAAGCACCAGGTATCATTTATTCCTGTATTTCTCTGTCCTGTGCTAAGCCTGACACACAGTAGGTATTTGACAGCTGCTGAAAACGCTTTCTAGGGTCATCCTCTGAGCACCCATTTGATGAACACGCAGCCAGTGCCTTCGTCACCCTTGAGGGGTTCTCAGGGACTCCCAGTGAGTGAATAAACACAAAACACTCTTGCCCAGAGTTCCAGACCAATGGACCTTCTTCTGCTCTTCTTTCCTTAGCTTCAATATCTAAAAGTACCCACCAAAATGTCTAAAAGTCCAAATACTCTCCCCAAGGCATTAGTGTGAAAGATAAAAGGGACCAACCAGAGTAAAGATGGGGTATCTAGTAGGTTTCCCAGAGAGGGTACCATTGTGGCTAGAGAGCTACAGATGGCCCAAGGCACCCTGACAAGAGAGTTCCTAAACCTAGGGACCCACCCTGTCTTCAGTGCTAGCTTCACAAAACCTTTGCGTTTTTTGAGGTAGACCGTGGAGACTCCTGGGCGGCACAAGAGGGATTCAGAAGCTCCACCTGGCACAATGATCACAGCATTGCCGGAGCCTTTCTGGGTCAGTCTGTGCTTCAGGGCCACCTCACTCACTGGACAAATACCTGTGAAACCAAAGCGTCACATGGTGGATAAGATGAAGTTGGCCTGAGTGTAGAAGAGTTCCTTCAGGCTCTTTGTGGTGGAGGCAGTTACTATTTTCTGCCTTTGGTTTTGTGTCTTGGGTTAACCCTAACCTGAAAAGGTATCCTTCGTGGCAGTTGCTTGCTTGCCTGCCTTGGTAGGATTCCAGGGCTCTACAGTCAGGACCATACTGATTTTCTGTCTGCTTCCATTCATAGTCTCCTGTCCTTTAAGTCCTTTAACAGGCTTTAAGTTGATCCTTTCCATTTCTATCCCCAGACTGTAGAGCTATCGTTCTCTCTGTCTAAGCTGAGCACTTTGGAAACCCTTCAGAGGTATCTCCTCTGGAACTGATCATGCTAGCCACTGCTAGTGTGATTTCTCCCTAAGATCAAGCTTCCAAAAGGATCCATTGACTAGGATTTTGGGTGAGCAGGCAGACTAAGTCAAACTGAAATGTAGATGAACAACGGAATGTGTACTGGATTCTGTGACTCAACCAAGGCCACAGCCATTTATCTCTTTGGAATCCCCCCTTTTTTGCCTTAACATTATCTACTATTCTCTACTGGGGTGGTAGAATTTGCATCCAAGGTCTAGCCATCAAAAGAAACCCTTGCTACATGGTCATACCAACTTAAGAGGGGAGCTGAAACGTCCTCTGAGATTTCTCTCAAGATAAATTAATCTTACCTTTTATTTTTTCTTCAGTTGTTTTCTGATGTCCAGAAAGATGAATATTCATCCAGAGAGAAGGAAATCTGTCACAATGCCCTGGTTTGGAGCCTGGCACTAGGAAATTTTTCTGAATTCTGATGGATGACTCTCCTTTATCATTTGGCATATTAAACAAGGATGAAGGGGTTCCCCAGAGATGCAGGACATAAACCAAGATTGTATGTACTAACCTGTATGAGAGACTTTACCATGTCTTTAAGGTATCTTGAAACAAGAACACACACACACACACACACACACACACAGAGAGAGAGAGAGAGAGAGAGAGAGAGAGAGAGAGAG